TTTCTTTAAACTAAATATTTTTAAAATTATTGATGGTCAAAGTTTAACGTCAATATTGTCCAAAACGTCAATTAATATAGGGCCAGAGGGAGTATCAAATAAAAAAGAAATCTAAAAAAAATACAAAAGATGCCCCTCCCCCCAAGAAAAACTGCTACTGGATGGTGCAAATGATGCCAAAACCTGAATTTGACAGGAGTAGCAAGCCTGAAAAGAACGTCTTAAAATACTACCGGAGATCGATGAATTTCTTAATACAATAAGTTCGTAGAGTAAACTTGTGCGCATATTACGTGCTCTTTTGTCTGGAAGTGTATGGCACGTTCTTCTCTCTCTAAGCAAGCCATGACAGATCTCAACTGACATTCTCTTGAATAATTTGTAACGTGGAAAGACAGTAATAATTAAGTATATATACATCCTCTAATTACTCACAATGTCTTTAATGCGGGAAACATGAGTAGACTTAACATAAGAAAGAGTAGTGCTATTCATCCGACCGAACAGTAGGACTCATACAACAGTCGAACCAACTAATCACGGAATTCATAAGCATTTATGTGGGCCGAGTCAAAACGAGTCAAAAACTGGGCTTATGTGCAGGTGCAGTCATATGCAGGTCGGACATGTGAAGTCGTATGTACAGTCATTCCGTCTCGTTCTCTCTTAGGCTACCATCTGATGGACTAATCATCCAAAAAAAAGCCAAATTTTCAATTTTCAATTTTAAATTTGAGATATTTTTATTGTAGTTTTTTTCAGCATTGATTTTTAAGTCACCAAGAACACATATACTCTCTCCTTCCAAAAATTTGAGACCTATTTCATTCTTTGGTTTTTCTAAAAATCTAAGTCCTATTTGTAGTTACTATGTGCTAAATTAAATTGTTGATTAGAAACCAAGAAGTTATTTTAATACTTATTGGTTGCATGTTCATTGGTTTTGACACATGGTGAGTGAGTTAATTGCTTCTTGGTATTTGTTGGAGGTATACCATGAGGACCTTCAACCGAGCCTCCTGAAACCAGTGTTGTGGATAACGGTTGGTACGGCCATATATTCGGACGTCAAAACAGTGGCGCTGGCCTCTCCGTCACGTTTTAACAAAACGGTGCACATTAGTCGTTTCAGGACGTATAATCACCGCCATTAGCGACTAATCGGGCGTATCCGACTAATCGACCGAATAAACGGGCCTAATCACGTGACAATACCCTGCCCAGCAAGCCCACGATAACTATACTATTTCCTTTATGCATTACGAACCAAACCTATCACTATTTGATGCACAACTATGAGTGTTCAGACCTATACTTTACTATATGTCAAATTAATGTCATATTATCCTTATTCTAATTTAAGAATAGTAGGTATATATGTAGTTATATACATTTATCTTACAAAAATAAAAAGCTATTATGAGTTATGTACATATATTTATCCAAAACGTTAAATTTCCGTCAAATTCCGATTATTCATCCGTACTCCGATTAATCGTTTAGCGGGTACCCTCTCCCTCTGACATCCGTATTCCACATCCACAGCACTAACCGAAACCAAGGGTCTAGGCGAGGACCCAAGCCGAAGGTGCGCGGCGAAGGTCGAGAAAGCGCAACTACGTACCGTGAGACAACATGGGCAAAAGCCATAGGGTGAAAGCCGTGGCATGAAGCACATGGGCTTCGCTAAAGATGGGCCTTGTTGGAGGGCCATACGGACGAAGATTGCGGGGCGAAAGCCTTGCTGCGAAGGGCACGGGTTTCGCCAAGAACCGGACCTCACTGGAAGAAGGTCCAGCGGCCCGTCGTGCCTTCCGAGGGTTTCGCCAATGATTGGACCGAGCTACTTAGCCCATTAAGGGGGCCATATATGTAAAAGACACAATATGCCCTTAATAATGTCTCTATCATAAAGTTAACCATGTAAATTCCCCTATAAAACCGAAACTCTAAAGGAGGAGTCTGTAATAGGACTATAAAATAGCGCCCTAGGACCATGTATCGGGGATATCTAAATTTTTTTTTACTAAGCAATACAATTGTCTTTTTTCCAACCACCGTTGAGAGAACCACGTCCTTTAACGTGACGTGGTTATCGTTTCGACAACAATATTGATGAAAAAGAAATAGGTCTCAGATTTTTAGAAGGAGGGAGTATAAAAATTTTATCTATAAATTTATTTTTATTTCCTAATAAACTGTTTTGACTTATTAGGAAAAAAGCCAAACGATAGGGACTTATAGATAATCGTCAGTGCATAGCATCGACCACATGGCAGCACCACTGTCGACTGAGTTACGGTACCCCTAATCATTAAGGCTGTGTTTAGTTCCACGCTAAAATTAAAAGTTTGACTAAAAATAGAAGTTTGAAGAAAAAAGTTGGAAGTTTATGTGTGTAGGATAGTTTTGTTTTGGAATTATTTTCATTTTTAAATTTTTATTTTTTAATATTTACAGAAATATTATACCATTCAAAATATTTACAGAAATAGTCCTTGCCGCCCAAGTGGAGGGCGGCAAGGTGTGCACATTTTGCATTGAGGTCCCTTGCTGCCCTCTACAAGAATGGCAAGAGGCTAAATGCAATTTTCGCCCCGTTAAAAATGCATTTTGCTAATTTTTTTTTCATCTCGGCTGTCCCTCATGTCACCCTGCCACTCTAGGGGATGGCGGCAGCAGTGTCTATTTCTGTAAATATTTTCGCCGGTATAATATTTCTGTAAATATTAAAAAAATAAAAAATAAAAAATAAAAAGAATTCGATAGTTTTGATATGATGAAAAAGTTAAAAGTTTGAAGAAAAAGTTGAGAACTAGAACATGCCTAAATCCTGCTTCGCCCCTAGAGGGAAGCACAATATACTTACCATGCTGTTGGCGGTCCATAGTGGCCTTTGGGTCCAGCAGTGCTGACCCCCTATGATGGTGCTGTACTGTCAGAACTCTTCGTCTTATTTAAAATTTTTTAGAATTTTATTCATTTTATTTGTGACTTACTTTATTATCCAAAATATTTTAAACATAAATTTTTTAAATAAGATGAGTGGTCAAACAGTACAAGAAAAAGTTAAAATGTCTTATTATATTATAAGACAGATGAATTACTACTATTACGCGTGTTAATAACGTACGGTAAAAAAAAGACACACAAAGGTGATCACGAAAACCGTTAGTTGTTAAGTGGTTCTTTGCTTTTTTTTTTCTTGAGTAAATTTCACAAAACTACACGTTTATGTTTTGTGATCCAAGTTATAGAAAACCACACATATTTTGAAACTTGGTATTTAAATACACGGTAGTGTTGTTTCACAAAACCACACTATCAATGAATAGATTCACCCGTGAGATGATGTGGTTGTTTCACATAGGACGAGGACATGACATCATATTACCAACCATCGCACGAAATTAATAGGATGCAACATCCTCATCTTAGACGGAACAACCACATCATCTCACGGGTGAATCCATTCATCGATAGTGTGGTTTTGTGAAACTAAACTACCAAAATATATGTATCTAAATGCCACGTGTCAAAATATGTGTTGTTTTAATTTACTCTTTTTTCTTCTTGACATTCAAATTTATTTTAAATTTTGATTTCTAGCTAATTTTAATTTTTAACACTTTCTTTATGGTTGTTACAAGGACAAAGCAAAACAATCTACGACTACTTATTCCCTCTTTTCTTTTGCAAAATTACTTAGAAAATTGTTCTTGAAAATAGCATTTCAATTTTCTTTTTTTTTTAAAAAAAATAGCTTTGGGGGTGAGCCAACTATGCTACAATGATATAATCCAATCCAACCCACAGATAAGCAGAGAGATTAGACGGATAATGGAGATAGGGCGCATGTTGCATGTATTTATGAATATCAATTTTGTTGTACGGGCAGCAACGTGCAGAGATCCTAATCGTGCTTGCCTCGACCGTGCTTTTGTCTCTCGCTCATGCTATAGCCACCCATTTCTTCCTACACAGCAACACGTCAGCACGGCCCCACCGTTGTTCCCCTTGATAGCTCGAATGTCAACATTTAAAATATAAAATAGATGGATAAGTGGTGCATAGAATTACATTTTTTTTAAAGTGACAATTCATATATTGATTGAACATGATACACTTTTTTTTTTTTTTGGGGGGGGGAGGGGGGAGGGGGGGTGTTGAGTTTGAGACATGATATAAGAAGGACCAACTTATTAAACAGTAATTATTAACAACATAGCTAGTATATGTGACGGTACCAAGCTTCTATATCAGTAATAAAAGCACAATATAGTAAGCACCAATTATTAACTACTGACCTCAGAAAAAAAAAGAACTATTAAGCTTTTCAACAATTTAGAATTGATGTGAAGAATCTTAGTTCTGTCTTTGAATCAAAGTTGGTAATCAACAGTGGTCATAACCCTAGAAACCTATGGATGTTCTCACAATATATTTCTCAAATAGACTCATTTTTATCATATCATCTTGTAATAATATCTATATAAGACTTACTATGGAGCATTTCTCCTGCTACATCCGTTTCAAAAATGTAAGCACGCCCAAATCCATTTTAGATAACACGTAGAAATACAGTTATCATGTCACCAAACATATACCGGTACACTCAGAAATGTGTGCGAATATAATAATGTGATGTGAAAAAAGAACATGTTGGTAAGCAACACTCTTTTTTTATGGTTGTCACTCCTTCCCTTGATCAAGAACACTACATCTGTGTTTACTTTACGTCAAAATTAAAAGTTGGTTAAAATTAGAACGATATGATGGAAAAAATTGGAAGTTTATGTATAGAAAATTTTTGATGTGATGAAAAAGTTCGAAGTTTGAAGAAATATTTTGGAACTAAACACGGCGTACATACGCGGACAAAAACAACATGTCGGCCAGGTGGATCAGCTGGGCCCACATGTCGGCCACCCATGGTCCAACGGAGACGCCTTGGGACGGTGTCGCGTAGCCTATTTTCGCCAAGCAACTGAAAAAACTGAAGGAAAGGAAGGAAACGCAGCTAATTATACCGCGGCTTCAGGCCTTCCTTCCTTCCCTACTCGCTGTCGCCTTCCACCATCTCCGCCACCTTCTCCTTCCCTCCCAAGATCTCTTCTTTGGATGCCGCGCTGAAAGATTCGCTTTCTTGGTTGGTTGGTTGATCGATCCGGTGCCCGGATTTGGGGAGGAATTAAAGGTGGCGCCTTGGCGAAGCAGTAGATTCTTTGATTGCTTGTTTGATTGGTGGTTCTTGAGCGAGAAGAGAGAGACTGATTGATTGGTGGAGAAGCTGTGAGGTGGGGTTTGAAAGGAGGCGCGTTCTTGTGGGGGATTTGGGAAGGGGGGGGGGGGAATTTCGGTCTCGTTGGTTCGGATCTTGTTGGTGTGTAGTAGTAGTAGTTGGGCATGAGCGTCGGGGGAGATGGGGATGGATTACTACAACGTGCTGAAGGTGAACCGGAACGCGACGGAGGAGGATCTCAAGAAGTCGTACCGGCGGATGGCGATGAAGTGGCACCCCGACAAGAACCCCGGCGACAAGAAGAAGGAGGCCGAGGCCAAGTTCAAGAAGATCTCCGAGGCCTACGAGGTACTAGAATGTTAATTTCTTCTCCTATCTTTTGTCTCCTAGTAGTAGTAAATGCAAATCCGAATGAGGAAATTGGAATCCATCAATGTGTATTTTTACTGTCTTGGTGAAGAATTTTGGCATGGTGGCTTCAATTTTCAGTTTAGATTTTATAAGCTTTTGTTATGCAAACAATATTTGAAAGGAGGCTTGCAAGCATGTTTGATTTGCATTGAGGATCATGCCAATTTTGATATAACATTTTGTCTTGTGTGGATTGATATGTCAATCATATTGATTGAGAGCCATGTGTCCTGACTCCTGAGAATATTTATTTCATCATCTCCTTTTCTTTTCTCTCTTCCTAAACCATATCTGACTAATGTGATGTTTCTGCAATAAACAAACACGCTGGAATATCTTTCAGTTCTTGCCTTGTCATTCCAAATGATCAACCACCAAATTGCATCTGCAAAGTATGAATCAATACATATCAACCTTATTAAGACAGGCATTCATGTGCAGTGCTTACTGCTGATTTCAGGTTTTGAGTGATCCACAGAAGAGGGCAATATATGATAAATATGGAGAGGAGGGTCTGAAGGCCTCTGTGGATGCAGGGGCTTCATCATCCATGAATGGCAACCGCCGGTTCAATCCTCGGAACGCTGAAGATGTATTCGCCGAGTTCTTTGGCAGCAGCAAGCCCTTTGAGGGAATGGGGCGCGCAAAGTCAATGAGGTTCCAGACAGAAGGTGCTGGCACTTTTGGTGGATTTGGTGGTGGGAATGAGAACAAGTTCAGATCATACAATGATTCAGCCGGCACCAGTTCAAGCCAGCCCCGGAAGCCACCAGCCGTGGAGACAAAATTGCCTTGCACACTGGAAGAGCTATATGCTGGTTCGACGCGAAAGATGAAGATATCCAGGAACGTTGTCAGGCCTACTGGGTAAGTGCATTTCTAGGTGGATTATTTTCTCAGAACTTGCAATTGACATTTTGTTCTGACCTGTTTCTGTTTGTTAAACAGCCAAATAGGAACTGAATCAGAGATTCTAACTATCGATATAAAGCCCGGATGGAAGAAAGGAACCAAGATTACGTTCCCGGACAAGGGGAATGAGCAGCCAAACCAGCTCCCTGCTGACCTTGTATTTGTAATAGATGAAAAGCCCCATGATCTGTACACAAGAGAAGGTAATGATCTCCTTGTGCACCAGAAGATTGAATTGGTGGATGCGTTAGCAGGAACCACCGTTAATCTGAAGACTCTCGATGGCCGGGACCTGGTGATCAAGCTCACTGATGTGGTCACACCTGGGTACGAGCTCGCGATCGCAAAGGAAGGGATGCCTATTGTCAAGGAGAATGGGAGGAGAGGCAATCTAAGGATCAAGTTCGACATCGTTTTCCCCAAGAGGTTATCGTCAGATCAGCGGCAGAACATTAGGAAGGTTCTTGGAGGGCAAACTCAGCAGCAGTGAGCACATTTTCAGAAGCAAATCGACTGTGCCATAGTTCTTGAGATAAACAGACTAATTCAGAGCTCTTGTTCTTCTTCTCCAGTTGGCTTGTACACATAGTTATTTTTCATTTGGAGTTGTTCATCTTTGATCTGCCCCCCTTCTTGGAAAAATAGCAATGTTAATTGATGACCACTACACGTGTAAGCAAAAACACATATCATTACACTTGAAATACAGAGTGCAATGCAATGTACGTTTGGTGAAGCCCCCCTTTTTTGTGTGAATTGCTGTTCTTTGATTTAAAACAAATGAATCTATTGGAGGTCAAGGCATCTGTTCAGCATGTGAAATTAGCATCATCAACTTCCTTGAGGGGTATTGCTGTAGCATCTAAAAGAAGAAAAAAATGCTTCTCCTTGGCACTAAGACGGAAGTGAAGGGTCAGGGACCCAAATCCTTCACATATATGTGACAAAATCACAAAAGGTAGAATTGTATATATGAGATCTTCAAAGCAAAAAAACAAAGCTTAATAACATCTTCAGAATTTCAGACCCTTAATGTACACAATGCATGGGCTGAAATGGGCCAGAATTGCAAAATACCGCAGCACTTGTTTGAAATATAAAGTGAATTGCCTGTCTTTCTTCATCATCTTAAGTTTTTGAGTTAAAATTGTTGGTGCATGCAACTCAAGAGTAATATCCCCACACTGAATTCCTAAGCCTCAAAAGGAAGATTTTTTATTTTAAGATAATGGACATTTCATTAAGCAAATAAAAGCATCCGGCTTCTGCACCAAAGTGCATTCAACCAAGCCTCAACGAATATGATGCCACTAACTTTATGGAGTACCTCCTTTCAAACAAAAGAATTTTTGGAGCAATTTTGCAGGAATTAGACTAATTCCTTCGAAAATCCTATAAAAAATTAGCATCCAAAGGATCACCTAGGCCCCGTTCGTTTCCTCTGATAACTTTGGATGAAGTTTTGGATTTTCGTGGCACGCTTTTCAAACTGCTAAATAGTGTGTTTCGTGCGAAAACTTTCTCTATGAAAGTTGTTCTAAAATATCAGATTAATTTATTTTTCAAGTTTGTAATAATTAAAACTTAATTAATCACACGTTATTACCACCTCGTTTTATGTAAAACACTTAATCTTCAACTTCAGGAGATTCAATCACCACCTTAATGTTTCACAGCTACTCCCTTCATCCTGGATTGCTATATTCCGGGACAGAGAAAATAACATATGTTTTTTTCCCTAAATTATACATAGTTCCACCATGTCATCTAAATTCTAAACTCCTTTTTTTTCCCAGAGAGAAAAAAAAATCTAAAATACATTTCTTCTACCGTCCATAAATAGCAACGGCCTCGCTGCATCCGTGGGCCCACCTGCTTTAACCGTCGTCTTCTCCATTTCCGTTTCGTGGTCCCCGTTTTCCCGCCCCCGCCAAAACCGCTGCCACGTCGTCGTCTCCCGCCAAAAAAAAAAAAGTAGGCTTTGGGATCGCCGCCGGTGACGATGAAGCCACTGAAGGACGCGGACGCGCAGGAGAAGGCGGCGCCGCCGCCGACGGAGTGGTACGACCCGCTGTCGTCGCCGGGGCGGCCGGTCAGGGTGTACGCCGATGGCATCTACGACCTCTTCCACTTCGGCCATGCCCGCGCCCTCGAGCAGGCCAAGAAATCGTAAGCTTGGATTATCCAATTTATTTCTAAATTTTTTTTCTTGAGTTACCAAGTATCTGGTTGAATAATCAAGGAAAAAACATGATCAAATTTTAGATTCAAACAGTGCATTTTCTTGTGTGTTTAATCAACCAAGAAGAAACTTTGTAGGACTTTGGTGCAATGCAATCGGCAGTTGCAGTTTACATTTTTGATTTCTGAAGATATTTCTTTCAGTTTCTGAATTTTGACATCGATTTGGCATCCATTTGCATCACATGATGTTCTGAGTTGCTCTGAACAGATTCCCCAACACATATTTGCTCGTGGGCTGCTGCAGCGACGAGATCACCAACCTTTACAAAGGCAAGACCGTCATGACTGAAGACGAGCGCTACGAATCGCTTCGCCATTGCAAGCAAGTTTTCACCTCCTCTATTGCACTTGTGCCATTCACACATTTGGAGATTTTTTTTTAAAAAAAGAACAATCTTACCATTTTGTTGTTAACTAAAAAAATGTGAAGGTGGGTGGATGAGGTGATACCAGATGCTCCATGGGTTATCAATCAGGAGTTCCTAGACAAGCACCGCATCGACTACGTCGCTCATGATGCTCTTCCGTAAGAACACAGTTATTATGCAGAACAAATTGCTCAAAAATAGTTATGTAGAATTGCAACAACATTGGACCTTCATATATATTTTCATGATTGTTTGTATGTGTAAAATAGCAGAAACAATGTGTGTAACTAACTTCATGTGATTGTTTCAGGTATGCGGACACCAGTGGAGCTGCCAATGATGTCTATGAATTTGTCAGGATCTCTGAATCTTCTCATGTTTCAACAAGCATTTCTGATGGCTATAGGTAGCTGAGTGCCTGATGTCTGAATGTTCGTGCAGGTGAAGGCCGTTGGGAAGTTCAAGGAGACGAAGCGCACCGAGGGCGTCTCGACGTCTGACATCATCATGAGGATCTTGAAGGACTACAACCAGTACATCATGCGAAATCTGACCCGGGGATACTCCCGCAAAGACCTCGGTGTGAGCTATGTCAAGGTGAGTATTCCATGATGAACTTCTCCAAGTGAAGAAGAAAAACAGGCACTGAATTATGTTGTTTTACTGTATGATCAGGAGAAGCAACTTAGAGTAAACATGGGGATCAGCAAGCTAAGGGAGAAGGTGAAGGAGCATCAAGAGAAGGTGATCAAGTAAATTGAAAAATCAAATGATCTTACAAAATTTTGGTACTAACTTTGCTGCATAATACATATGTAGTTTCACAGCGCGGCAAAGATAGCTGGAAGCAATCCTGTGGAGTGGATGGAGAATGCCGACCGTTGGATCGTTGGGTTTCTTGAAAAGTTTGAGGAAGGTTGCCACATGATGGTAAGTGGAGGAATTATTACATTTTGTCAATCTTGTAGAACTTTGACAATGAACAGTGCATTGCCACATGATCTGTTTTTTTTTTTCATTTGACAGGAAACCGCGATTAAAGATCGGATTCAGGAGGGGCTGAAGAGGCAAAGCAGGTCGGACCCCAACCTTTCTGGGGAGGATTCCGACTCATAATGGATCCTGTAATATCCAGATCAAACTGGGAAGAGAAAAAATTGTGGAGATCATTTCTAGCCTTGTGTGAGATTAGCCTCATGTTGTAGGACAATTAAAGTGACCGTGCATGGTTTGTTTGTACCAAAAGGTTTTGTACTTCTGAGAACAATAATAATAGTTCGTGCAATTACTGCTCAAGGTTATCTATTTGCATCTTGCACTGATAATCTGCATGTTTTGCATCTTGTACTGAAGGATCATGTGCGTATCTATGCCACAAAGGCACAAACTGAACTTTGTACAGTTTTCCTAGTTGTATGTTGCATCTGTTGGTATCAGAATATTAGGATTTTTGGCATATATATTGGCTAATTGTTTAGACACCATTTGCAGTGGTTTGACCTTTGACCTGTTTGCAGGAGATAAGGTCATTTTCATCTATAGATGATATGTTAAAAGGTATTGGCGAGTTATCAGATGAACACCACTTGGCGCGTCCGATGGAAAGAAAAATAGAATGGACAAGTTTGTGATTATTTTTATTTCCCCGTAAGGTTAAACTTTGAGCTATGGTAAGACTGTCTGAGGCAGTCAAGAAGTGAAACTTCGAAAATTGCTAATAGGGTATTATTCAGAAGTGTCAAATGAATCAATACATGTTACACTGATTATAAACCTAAGAAACATCACAAGAGAACATTTCTAATCTTCAATCTGATAGTTTTGAGGGGAAAAAATAATCACTATAAATGAGGAAATCAATAGGCTAACCGAAATCTAATAGCAGATAATATAGATTTTGACATCATATACATTTTTATCATAAGCAACACATCTAAAAACTGCATTCTCCAGAAATAATCCAGCATTTCTAATTTCAAACTTCCTGTTGTACAACCTATATTTGCTTTTGGAGAAACTGTTGCTTAGAATATGGTTTCATCAGCATTTTCCTGTCTTCACCTGTGCCCTCTGAAATGCATGTAGACTCTCTGCAGATGAACAGATTTGGAAGAATATCATGCAATCAGGATCATAGATAGTGTGTTCATCAATTTTTGCATGTCAGTCCTCATACATTGGTTGAACCTGTTGTAAATATCTCTTTTATTTTCAATATATTCTTTTAATGTGGGGGCTTCCCCTACAGTGTTTCCCCTCAAAAAATTTGCAGGTAATTCGGTAATATCGCAACAAAAGTTTATCAAAAGAAGTAATTGGGTATGTGGTGAAGTGTGAAAATTCATAAACTGAAGCTAGGACTTTCTGCTTTGTCAAATCAAACTATCCAAATAATAATAAAAAAGGATCATAGCAAAAGAAGAATTAGCTCTAACCTCAAGCACCCAGATGCTTATAATAGATTCCAAGGTGAAAAATGTAAATCCAATTAAATAAAGCACCTGCATTACTCCGAAAGGGGCATCAAATTAATGTTTCTGGAGAGGTTTCCTTTAGCACAAGAGCTCATGAGCAAGTCTTGGAACTGCCGAACTGGAGTATAATGTTTTGACATCAATCAAAATAATGCGAAATGACTTACTCCAACGAACATATCTCCAGTTAAAACTTCGATTGCAACCAGGATTCCCCTGATTTCAGGCAAATAAATTCAAATGAGAACCATTGAAATAGAAAATTTAAGCAAGAACAGCATTTCATTGCTTAGGCTTACGTAAGAGTTTTTCCCTTAAATATTATTGGAGGAGTAACTGCAGCAATGACACAAAATCCGACATGTATCTGGCATATATAAAGTCATCATGAAGTTCATTAGAGAAAAGTGAATTGCCAAAAGATCAGCAAATACAAATTGAAAAAGAAACACAGGCTTTTCAAACAGGGAAATTTTGGCTAGACATATCGATGTTGTTCAATTCAGTTTTTTTAGATTAATAATATACTAGTACATGAAACCGCTAAGACCATAAAATTACCGAGTAGAAGACGAAAAACTGGACAAAGGTAACCATGCTATCAGTTCTGGACAAGAAAAGGCAAATGATTAGACTTAAAATTAGCATATTCATGGAGAATTTCCTGCTAATTTGTAGGTTGAAATAAAAAGAAACCTCATTGCGCTGTACAGAGGCCTGTACCACAGTATGTATGAAAGAGGACATCCAAATATTGCGTAGATAATTGCGAAGAGAAAAAGCACAACATCTACAAATACAAAATCCATAACAAATTATTCAAAGGAATCCATAACAAAAAATGATAAATATACTGAAGAGGCTGTACCGTCACTATGAATTGATTCAATTAATACAGCTACTACATTCCAAACGAGACAAGCAATTAGTCCTGCCAAAAAAAAAACCGATGTAGCTATAATAAATAATAATAATAATTCATATAGAAAAGCAGATGCAAGGTGAAATATTTTACCTAGCCAACTACCAAATGCCATGTATTGCAACTTCTGAGCATGGATTGGTATTTCACTGGCTATATCATGATGGATGATAGGGTAGAAAGGCGGCCAATTTTTCACTTCGACAGTGACCCCAGCTGCGAACGAAACGAATTTTCAGAAATTCAGACAAAAATATAGAAGTACCCAAGCTTAAGCTTGAACAAAAGTCTAGCAGAACTACCCCTGTCCATTGCATTCTCCCTCTGTTTGATATCCTGAAAAAGAGAACATCACACACTTCTTGAGCTTGGTTAAACTTCACATGAATATAAAAAAAAAAGGAAATATGCAGCAAAAGAAAAGAACACATGGCATTCCGATTTGGAGAAAACAGCAACAAACGAAAAGGGGAGAAAGGGCATGAAAACTAAACAAAAGCCACTTCAATTTTCTAGAAAATGGTGGACATAAAGATAATGATTCAATAGAATTTTATTGAAGAGGAAAAAAGGCGATCAGACCAGCTCCCTTCGCCTCAAATCCTCCTCCCATGCCAAGAGTTCTTTCTCCTTCTTCCTCGGATCCTGCATCAAACAGCAGCATATGCCAAAATTCAGTAACAGTCATCATGAAATTGTACCAAGAACACAAGACAATCCATCATGTGGCATGAACTGTCAAGGCAAAGAACAGTGAATTATACCTCTAGGGGGATGTCAATGGTGGCGCCAAGCTTGCCGCTGCCTCCCAAGCCCGCCGGCATCCATGATTTCTTCTTCTCCGGCCCCGGCGCCATCGCCGCTCCACTCTGAAACACATCGCACATAATGAACAAAATGCAGAGTGAACCACCAAATGATTATGGGTTTATTTATGTGGAAGGTCACTTTGAACAAATTATGCATGCAATCAAGAGGATCTTGGTACATGATCATGAGTAATTCAATGTTCTTTACGCATGCAATTACGGATGGGGATATCTCATCAAGACAGAAGGAATTTGATCTGAAAGAACAAGGAGGAGCAAATTTGGAAATACCGCGGTAGGATTGACATTTTCTTCATCGAGTGGATTGGGATTAGGAGACATTGAGATGATGACTTGGCATGAACAAGTCTCAGGCTTTGCAGCGAACAATATTCAGGTTGCAGTAGAATTGCTCGTGGCCAATGGGTAGTTCTATTTTCAGTCCATGGCCACTATTACAATTTGGCCCTTGTTACTGTCTAGTTCTTACCAATTTACCCCTCATCTTAGCAACAATTTTCCTTTTTCCCTTTTTTTTTTTTGGCGAGGAGTCTTAGCAATATTTTCACTTTTCAGTTCGATGCTTTTTTTTCCTTTTTTTTTTTTTACAACGTCCATCTTTATATGCAACACAGAAGTGTCGGTCTGGAGTGTTTGAACTAACCTGCATCCGTCACAAGTCTGAAAAACAGAGGAAAACACAGATAACCGTAATGAATCTGGCAAAGAAATTATCTGGATCAGGTAATGACAGAATAAGTAAAATATTTGGGCCAGGTAAAACTGGAAATCCTATAACTAAACTAGTTTCGCAATTGATTCAATTTTGATCTCAGGTTGTCAGATTCGCAGAGCGGGTAATTAGATACAGAAATTGCATAGACTCAGAAAATGCAACAGATGCCAACTAAAGAAAAAGAAATCCACTGTTATTAAAGCGGGCATTATTATGTCATTCAAAGTACGATGATCGTCAAAGATATCATCATCTTGCCATCAGGCAGAATACATGACACGCTGACTGGAACATTTTAAACCAAATACACACATTCAATTCCAAATTTCAGTGTGGTGAAGGACTGCATCTTGTCTTCTCAGTGATGGTGATCTTGAACAAAACGGAGACCACAGTACTTGCATACAGCAGGCTGGTCCAGGTCAAGGCAGATATATTCGATCGGATGGCCGAGGGAACCAGTTTCACGACCTGTAGCAAAATATGAACAGGTCAGCCTGCAGAAGATTGCCTCATAGGTATAGTTTGGAAGCAACAATACAGCCAAAGCGCAAATACAAGAATATATATATACGACTAGTTTTGCAAGGCTCACCTTTATCCTGACGCCCATCACAAGCAGCAATTCGTCCTTCAACCTTGATCGGAGGTACTGCGTTGATCAATTCCATTGGGGACTTCTTGCTTGTGTCCTGCAATGAATAAAGTAAATGAATGAACATAATTTAGAAAATGAGCTCATGATTCAACAAGTGCTAAGGTGCAAATATTGCATAACCAACTCATAAACTTTATCATGGTCTGAACCTGGTATATATACAAATCCTAAAAATTTTGAGGATATGGGGATCACTTGCGTCGCAGATGATTTATAGATTCTTACTCAGTGCAACAACGAACATAAGTCTTTAACACTGTTTTAAAAGGCAATGATTCACCTATTCACTGTTTGTGTATGGTTTGACTAGGCACCACCATCCTGCCTAGTGCAATCAGAACAATAATCTTTACTCAATTAAACTGGTGGCTCATCACCTATTATTGGTTTGCTGGCTCCTGGTTTACTGAAAGCCTAACTCAAATGGATATTCATCATTTAGGCCTTTTCTGGATGGGCTGGGATGGACCAAGACACCAGCCTATCCACGCAGAAGTTCAAGTAAATTCCAACCATCTAAAGCCTACTCAGCAAATGGGTGAAAATATATACACTAAAAGCATGACAAAACAATGTAGGCAGTGAGCCTGTGAGTGACATTATAATTAATTGAAGGGGATATGTAATTTTCCGACTGAACATAAGTTACTTTGATACAAAATCATATGATGCACATCTTGTGAGAACTACCCAATAAGGTCATGCCACTATCTACCAAGGCAAGCACATTTCATCAAGATAACGGTTCTCTTAAATACGAGAGAATAAGCATGCATATTACAGATGAGGCTAGCGCAACTAATTTAAGGACAGTCGAGTGACTTGAGTCTGCAAACCTATAGCAAACAGTACCTTCCTTCAGGGGAGGATAACATCCAATAAGATGCATGAAAAATTGACAACTGCACTAATAAAACATCGGTTCCACTCCTGAGTCACGAGCTGTGTTGATATGTATTAACCACCTAAACCCTATGTTGGCATGCTTAAGGTAACATGGAGTATTTGAGTAGGCTGTCACTAATCAGTAGTATGTGTTTTCCTGCAATTAGATATCGTTAAATAACTTAACAGGACTCCTCTCATAATCTAGGGATGGTGCCACTGTAGGAATCAAGGCAGTAGAGCATGCAGGGTATGCATCTTACAGAGATATGAAAATGAACCCATAGACCCTTATCTGTCTGCAATGTTATTATGACAAAGAATCCCAGTGCCTAAAAACCAAACCATCCTTCCTAAACAGCCTAAACTCCATGCAATCCATTTACAACATGCTTTACATACACTCGTACAAGCAATACACCTTTCAAACCTGAACATGGTCTTCAGATCTAAACAAGAAAACATAAGAAAAGCTATTGGGGGGGGGGGGGGGGGGGCATAAACACTTACAACTTGCAGAAACAAATACATGACTATGTCCATCAATTAAAGCGCCCAGGCTGACCTAAATAGGGAAAATGGAATTGATCATCGCGAGCTACACGCCTACACAGCGATTGCACGCAAAATCGAGAGCCATAAACGCACACGTCCACATGAACCTAAAGAAGACTAGATCCCCCCCCCCACCCCCCCCCCCCACCGAATCGGGGAGCGCTACACGCGGGGGCGGCCGGGCAGGTTATCAGGCTCGCGAGAGGACCAGGGATCCGACACACCCGGAGAAAGGCTGTAGGGCGGCGAGGTGGGGGGTTACCTGCATCCACTTGGCGGTGTGGCTGCCGACGACGGCGGCGGCGCCGACCGCCCTCTCCGTGGAGACGCCTCGCGCGGCGCCGTTGGCCGCGGGTAGGGACTTGCGGAGCGCCGGGAGGAGCAGACGTCTCGCGGCGGTCGCCATGGCCGATGGGGGAGGAGGAGCTGTCTGCACGAGGGTCGAGGGATTTCGGGAGAAGGGAGGAAAGAGACGAAGTTTTTTTTTTCTTTTTGTGATGGATTTAGGTTATCTCTCGAAATAGGCCCGGCCCAATAAGGCCCATTTACACAATTGGTTGGGCTGGTCATACTTCGGCACTGCATTGTGCATGTGGCCCCGTTCGATGTGATTATAATCTTGTAAAACGAGAAAAATCATTAACATATGATTAATTGAGTTTTAATTATTTTAAATTTAAAAATAGATTTTTTTATATATTTTATAGCAACTTCTATACAGAAAGTCTTAAGCACGGAATGCACCGTTTAACCATTTGAAAAATGTGTTGACGAAAATTGATATAAAATCTGTATTTTAATTAGAAAAGAACGAGACAGGTGTAATGCACTTGATAAAGAAAGCACGGCCCAGATTGATGATTACAGAATAATGCCATATTTTTTCTTTTTATTGTTCTTATAACATTCAGAAAGAAAACGTTGGCACGTGCACAAACTCAGCAGTAAGCACGCTCACATCACTATACATTTTCGGATTTGTTGAGGCATCAAGGGGTTTACAAAGCATGGGCGTGCACTATCTCGATGAATGCTCACATTCGAGTTTTCATGTTGGTAGACACTAGTGTCAGGTTTAAAACTTGTTCATGTTTGTATTATTTTGACCATTAAGTTGATTATTATTATTATCATCATCTGGAGGAGTATTATCTTTAGACAGCAACCACTTATATTGTGCATTCTACGCAAATAGGATTAAAATATTCCAACGATTTTTTCAGTCTGATACAAACCATGGTACTAGTAGCCCTATGGTTGTAGGATAGCTTTTGAGGTAACAAAAATATTTGATTTTTCAGGTATTTAGCATGGCTTTCTCTAGCCTTTGAAGGCTTGCGATTTTATCTGCCGGAATTTCCATGTTAAGGGTTATGTAGGATTTATACGGGAATTAAACTAATAAATGTGAAAATCCTAAAAAATTTCTACATTCGAAAGAGTCCTAAGCTTTTTTTTTAAAAAAAATAATATAAAACGAGTTCATACCGGTTGAACATGCAAGACCTCGGATTTCCTCCTTAAAATCTTAAATCAGTTATTTATAACAACAAGTTTGGCAGTTTGCTTCGAGATAAGATCTGCTTTTAATAAAAAGGTGTAAATATGTGATGGATAGTCCTTTGAAGTCTGAGAATCATCTTGTAGCCCTGCAGCTTGATTCAACCAACAAATCCAGATCACAGCTGAATTCACGATACCTTCCAAAACTATCTTCACAGTTTCTCATGATATGATTCAAACAACAAATATTGTTCACTTAATTCCCCTATTTTTAATTTCTGCAGCTCTAGATCATACAAATGGTCTCCTGCTGCTTCCCTCTTTATTGTTGCATCGTAGGAGTATGCACGAACTTGGAATCCGACAAACACCTAAACCAAAGCCGCCAAAAACATTTTCAATCTCACATGATCAGATCATGCCCTCACCATTTTTGTCTGGTCAATTGGCACCATTGGACCTATGCTCTTGTCTGCTGCACATCAGCACTAATCCCCTCTTAAACCCTATCTCCAAAAAACAAATGGTTGCACCCTTTGTCTCCTCAAGTTGGCCATTTGGTTGCACACGTGTATCTATCCCCGCGTACAGTTGCTACAGTGAGTCTATGACGAGCGGACACCGTCGAGCAGGTAAACTAGAGGGACCACTTGTCAATGACACGTCGGAGCGGGTTTTGTCACGCGCGGTCTCCGATAACGCTAATGCTTGCCTATGTGTAACTTGCACGGTAACTGTAAAAAAAATAAATTGTTTCAGTATTATTACCTCTCCAATGGCCATCACTTGATGTGCTAACCGTTGGAAGATCACGCACTGCTTGTCTGCTTTACCCAAGAGAATCCAATCTTGGTTTTAATCTAGTGGCCACATGCATTAGGTGTTGGAATAATCTCACGTTTTGATGCAGCAGGGATAGGGTTTATTTTTTCCCTGTTCAACACTTCAACCCCGGCCATAAAACTAAACTTGCCATGCACATTGAAGAGTATGCTAATTAAATGGAGTTAGTTGGTTGAATCTAGGCCAGTCTTGGGGTGCAGACAAGAGTTGAATGCATGGGGGTTTGGAAGGATGATCTTGTTTGTCAGCAGTCACTTGAGTAACTTTTGCATCCCAAGGCAATGCTGTTTTATTAAGGGTTGTTGGCTTTGATGCCAGTTCTTCCCCTACCAATTAGTATTATTTGGTAGTTTTGGACAATAGTTGGTACCTGTTTGGATTTGAAGCAAAATTTGCCCAATCTTTAGACCTGAGGCAAATCTACCTTACTAAAATTTTGGTAGGGCTTTAAACCAAAACAGCCATAAGTCTCTGATTCATACTAGGAATACATAGAAGCAAAATGCATATGATACTATATTTTTACTTTAGAAAAAAGCCAACCATTTCAATTTTCAAAAGATGGTAGCAAATGGTGAATTAGCCACAAACCAAAAGCCTTAAAATATTGGTAATAGTAGAATTTCAGTTGCTGAATTGGAGAGATTTCCAGTTTTGATGAGATAAGATGGGGAGTTCTTGTCTTGATCCCAAATTGTGCAAGGGGACAGAGTTTCAACCAACAATAAGAAAGGGAGGGGGAAAAAGCCTTTGTTTTTGGCCTTTGAAAACACTAAACAAATGACCATATGTAATGCAGACAGGAGCATAATCTTTTTAAACAAATGATCATAGTAATGCAGACAGGAGTATAATCTCTGCTAGAACAGTTGATTTGAGGTGGTCCTTTAGTGGATCTGCTCGTTGATCAAATAAGTGCTAGAGACACTGTTCTGGGATGAGCAAATGAAAATGTTACTGAGTTTTTCAAAAGATCCTTTTGATTGACACAGATGTTGTATATTTTCAAGAACTACAGTGCCCAATGCAGTACATTTTTTAAAGTACAATCTCTGTAACACACACTAATTATGTGCTCGGAATGTTAGAAACTACTCAACCAACATTGAATCAGAGCATGAGAAGGGGGCATGTGTTATTTTTACAGCCTGCTGTAAAAGTTGAATTGGATATACTGCAACAGTCAAACATGCCATCCATGTAACTGCTGATATCACAATTCACAAATCACAAGTACCAGTACAAATAAAAAGCTGCCACAATTTGTCTGGCTTAAAGCTTTTGGAATCATTCTACAGTGGAAAAAACTATACACCTAAAAGTCCACTTTTTATTCAGATACTATTTCAACTGTTCAGCCATGCACAATTGTACATATTTACCATTTTCATAGTTGCAAAATGGATTAATGGAATGTCATCTAATTAATCTAGTGAGTTTTACTGTGAACCTACTACCCTGTGAAGTGAAATGATCCCATATCTTGACTCTTGACTCTTGTTTGTTCAGAACTTCAAATCAACACAAAAGTTACTTTCGGCCTTTTGCTTTCTGAAACATGAAAGCTACTACTGCCAGTTAGAGCAGATATAATAGCATGCTATTAGCAAGCTATAAACATATTTTAATGAGATAAACGATAAGAGAAAAGAGCAGCGGGCTACAGATTTGTAGCCAGCTGCAGCACGGACTACAAGATACACTGTATGTATGACAGGTGGGTCCATATATTAATAGTATAGTAAGCAACTATTATATGAATTGGCTATTAGATTGGCTATAGATGAATTGGAGCTAGTAGATGTCATGCCCAGAAGTTTCCCCCTTTTTCCTTGCTTTAAATATTTGTTAAATAAATCGTCCGAAGAAATTATCTTAATTAACCTAGAGCTAACTCCATAATTAATAAATGCAATTAATAATCGGAAATAGCGTGGTGGAATTTTTCTTGAGTTCCCCATGCTCCAATGCATTAACAAGATTTTTAGTGGAATTTTCAGAGCCTTGGAAATAATTTTAACCAATTAAAAATCACCAAAGTGCAATATTTAATCCCAGGAAAATCCTTCTCCTCTTTTTCTTTCCTTTTCCTTCCTTTTTCTCTAGATGGGCCGTCGGCCCATCTCTCTCCCCGCGCTCGGCACCCCTTTCCTGGGCCGGCCCGCTCCTCCTTTCCCCTCCCCGAAGTCCTCCCTCCCTCCCTTTCTCTTTCTGGCGCCGACAGGTGGGGCCCACCTGTCGGTCGTCCCCTACCTCCGGTCGTTGGAGCCGGAGCTCCAACCGCCCGTGCCGCCGCCTTCTCCGCTCCATGTCGCGCCTCCACTCCGCGCCCGCACCTTGCGCCCACGTCGCCGCCCTCTCCCCCGCATCTCCCGCGCGCGCGCCCCCGCAAGTGGTGGGGGATTTGAAATCCCCCAACACCCTCTCTCTCTCCTCCACCTCTCCACGTCGCCGGCCAAATAGGGGCCATCCCCGGCCGTTTCCGCCCCTCCCTCGCCCATAAAAACCCTCACTCGAGCTCTCTCTCTCATTTCCCCATTCACCGTCCTCTCCCACGCCCTCTACCGCCGTCGCGCCGCGCTCGCCGAGCTCTGCCGCCGCCGCCCATCTCCGGCCGCGTGCCGTCGCCACTAGGGCCGCTGCCGCGCCAAGCCGCCGCCGCCGCTAGCTCCGCCGCCGTGTGGGCCATCTCGGCCACCGCCTCGCGTCGCCGGAACCCCACCGGAACCCCATCTCCCTCGCGAGCCGGTGAGCTATCCATTCCCCTCTGTCTCCGGCCAGCCACTTTGGTCGTCGCGGTCGCCTTCTCCATCCCTAACTCCTCTCCTCCCCTCCTCTAGGTGTCGCCGCCGCTCGTCCGCCCCTCCTCTCGTCGGGTCGTCGTCGCCGCCTTCGTCTTCCGCTCCGGCCGCCGTGTCGCCGGTGAGTCCTCCCTCCCCCTCCTTTCCTCACCTTCCCGCGAGCGCCGGCCACGCCGCTGCTTCGGCCATGCGCCGCCGCCTTTCGGCCGTCGCCGCCGCTTCCCGCACCGCCGGTCACCGCCGTCGGTGGCCGTGCCTCGCCGCCGCCTTGCCTTGGTCGGCCGGTCGGCCTTGAGGCCGAGCCGAGCCTGGCCGGCGCCTCCCTCGCCTCCCCTTTGAGCCACC